ACTCCAATCTGGGCAACGAGAGCGCAACTCTGTCTCAAAAACAAAACAAAACAAAAAAAGAAAATGTATAATTTGGTGTTACTTTGTGGGTCTCAGTTTTCAAATCTGAAAATTGGGATGACAGAGATAGTAAACTGTAGAGTTCCTGAGAAGGTTGCCTGAGATAATTAGTGTGCTGTGTTTAGCACTGCCCTTGGCACTCAGTGTCTGCTATTATTGTTGTCATCATCACCATCTTTATTGTCATTATCACTGGGCCCCAGACCTAATTCTGAGGTCTGAATAGACATCCTTCACAACCTCTACTGCCCCTTCTCCCTCCTTCCTCCTAACAGACTGTTAAAAACCTGTGTTCCCTAATGCCTTTGTTTTTTGAAGAAGCTATAAAGAGCATCTGGTGTTTCCTACATGTTCTCCCCCTTCCTTCCAGGTCCCTCACTCCATCCCCTTCCTTTCCCTCCCATATTTGACCTAGATGCAACCACTCACCCCACTGCAGAGAGAGAGAACCTTCCCATTCTCAGCCAGAGAAAGATGTCCGTGGCCTGAATGGTGCTGCTGGACCCACAGTGACTCTACATAAAGGCTGTCCCTAGGTAGGGGTAGAGCTAGTGGCTGAAGGGGAGGAGGAGGACTCTGAAAGAGGCCTCCAGTGGAGCAGGTAAGCATCAGAGCACCCTAGGGTGCAGCCAAGGGCAAGTCATCCCACCTTTCTGAGCCTCAGCTTCCTCACCTGTACAATGGGGCTACTAAAAACAGCTACTGCATTCAATTGCTATAAGGATGGCATAGAGCCTGAAAAGGGACCTGGCGTTGAGAAAGCCCCTAATAAATAGTAGTTATTATTATATTGTAAAACAAAGCATCATGTTTATTTAGCATTTTAAGTTTGCAAAGGAAATTACCAACATCTTTCTTTTTTCAAAAAGAAACAAAAGGAGCTAGTCTTTCCACTATGGGGAAGAAAGTTTGGTTTTGATTTATAAGTCTCAGAAGAAAGGTAGATGACTTTACCTGGGCCTCTGTGGAAGCATCCAGATGCCACTTCCTGGAGCTGTTGCTGGTCCCTCTGTATTGTCTGTGTTTTACCAAATTTTAAAATTATGTATATACATAGGCATATATTTGCTGAACAATTTGCAGGTAAGTTGTAGACACTTTGATACTTTACCTCTAAAACTTTAACATATACCACCTAAGAATGTATGGACATGTTATAAGCATATATTATCACACCTAAGAAAATTGACAATAATTCCCAAATGTCATCTAATGCTCATCCATTTGCAAACTATCACAGTTAAAAAAAAAAAACTCTTTAATAGCTTTTTATCCGTTAGTTGTATTTCTAAACTTTTGATTTTGAAATAATTATAGATTCATAGGAAGTTACAAAAATAATAGTCTCTATACCCTTCTTCCAGTGTCCCCCAGTGGTGACATCTTATTACTTAAAAGTAATTTTAGTTTTTGCCATTGAAGGTAATGATAAAAACCGCAATTACTTTTGCACCAACCTAATATATAGCTTCAGTACAATATCAAAACCAGGAAATTGACATTGTTGGTACATTACTATCAACTAGACTACAGACATTATTTCGTTTTCACCTGCATTCATTTATACGTGTGTGTATATATCTGTGCTCTTTAATCCCATGTGCAGATTCATGTAACTACCACCCACAACCAAGATAGCTGTTACATCGCCACAGAACTCACTAGTGACACTTTCTTTGCATTCATATCCACTCCCACTTCATTCCTCCTTGTCCCTCTTTCTATGCCCTGGCAACCATGAAGGTGTTCTCCATCTCTGTCGTTTTGTCATTTTGAGATCGTTATATACAGGAAGTCACATAGTTATCTAACATTTTTTCCTTTTTTGCTTCTTCTTTTCTTTTTTTTTGAGACGGAGTCTTGCTCTGTCACCAGGCTGGAGTGCAGTGGCACGATCTTGGCTCACTGCAACCTCCACCTCCCGGGTTCAAGCGATTCTCCTGCCTCAGCCTCTCGAGTAGCTGGGATTACAGGTGCGCACCACCATGCCCAGCTATTTTTTGCATTTGTAGTAGAGACGGGGTTTCACTATGTTGGCCAGGATGGTCTCAATCTCCTGACCTTGTGATCCGCCCGCCTCGGTCTGTATCTAACATTTTTATATTGAATTTTTCCACCAAGCATAACACCCTCAAGGTTCCTTGAAGTTGTTGCACACATTACCAATAGTTCATTCCTTTTTATATGGCTGTACCACAGTTTATACGTGTATGCATTTACCAGTTGAAAGACATTGGAATTGTTTCCAGTTGTTGGACAATTAAAAAGTCACTATAAACATTTGTGTACAGGTTTTTGTGTGAACAGAAGTATCATTTCGCTGTGGGAAAATACCTACAAGTGGGATTGCTGGGTTATGTGGTGAGGGCATATTTATGTGAAACAGCCAAACTCTTGCAAACTGACTGTACAAATTTTGCATTGCCACTAGCAGTGTGAGAGCTGCAGTTTCTCTGCATCCCTGCCAGCACTGGATATTGCCACTTCTTTTGTTTTTGTGTTTAGGATTTTCCCTTGCCCCCCATAGGTGTGTAATGGTACCCCCATGTAATTTTTTTTTTTTTGGCAGAGATTCACTCTGTCATACAGGCTGGAGTGCAGTGGCGCAATCTTGGCTCACTGCAACCTCCACCTCCTGGGTTCAAGCGATTCTCCTGCCTCAGCCTCTTAAATAGCTGGGACTACAGGTGTGCACCACCATGCCTGGCTAATTTTTGCATTTTAAGTAGACTGGGTTTACCATGTTGGCCAGGCCGGTCTCACCCACATGACTTTTAAAACATAAATAAGACCAAGTCATAACCCTTTTTTTTTTTTTTTTTTTGAGACAGGGTTTTGTTCTGTTGCCCAGGCCGGAGTGCAGTGGTGTGATCACAGCTCACTGCAGCCTCAACCTCCTGGGCTCAAGGAATCCTCCCGCCTCAGCCTCTCAGCCTCACAAGTAGCTGGGACTACAGGTGCACACTGCCACACCCAGCTAATTTTGGGGTTTTGGGGTTGTTGTATTTTTTTAGAGATGGGGTTTCACCATGCTGCCCAGGTGTGTCTCAACCTCCTGAGCTCAAGCAATTTGCCCACCTCAGCCTTCCAAAGTGCTGGGACTACAGGCATGAGCCACTGTGCCCGGCCTATAACCTTTCTTAGATACTTTGAGTGGCTTCCCATTACACTCAGAATAAAATTCAAACTCAGAGGGCCTGCCAGGCTGCCTCTCCTGATCTCTTATGCCTCTGCCCCTCACTCCGCTCCAGCCACAGTGACTTCCTTGTTTCTCTAATGCCCTAAGCTTGTTCCTCCCTCAAGCCTTTCTCCTGCGGTTCCCTCCACCTGGAATATTCTTGCCCTGGGTATCCACATGGCTCAGTTCCTCATTTCATTCTGTCTAATGTCATCTCCTCAGAGGTCTTCCCTGGTGGTCAAAATGAGCCCCCATCCCTGTGCTCACCCTCAGTCCCCTTATCCTGTTTTATTTTTTTCACAGCACTTATCTCTCCTTGATATGATATTGTATCAATTGTTGACTTGCGTCCTGCCTGTCTCCCTAGAAGGATAGGGCTTGGCTTTTTGATGACTATCTCCAGTGCTTAACACAGTGCTTGGCATACAGGAGGCAATAATAAATATTTGTGGAATGAATGTGTATGGGAAACCTCTTGTGACCCTCCTGTCGTCCTTTTGGCCCACCTTTTATTCGGCTATCACTGTGGCAACCAGCTTGGAGCAGGTGAAAGCACCGAGGCTCAGCTGCTCCACACAGCTCTGCTCTTGCCTTCTGCCAGGGCTTCTCTCTGGACTCCAGTACTGCAAACTGGATGTCTGAGGACGTTAACCCCTTGGGGGTAACCCTGGGCCTTTGGCGGCTGGGGTTGGTGGCTATGTGATTTCTTCTCTGACACTCAGTGGATAACTAGGAAGTGCACTCTACGCTGCTCCTCATCACATCCCAGCTGGGTCAAGCCCCAGCTGCCCACAGTGGTGACCAGCTCTGTAACACACCATGGCTTTCCCTTGTTCCTACTTCATTCTCCCCAGTTCCCTATTCCTGCTCCCTGGGATCATGTCCTGAACTAACTTGCAAGCATGCTCTTTCTCTACTTTCTCTACCTATAAGGAGGTAGGGATACAGAAGAGCCCAGGTTACATTAGAACAATATATGAAACTTATAGACTAGTAGGAGGGACCAATACAAATAAAACAAAATTTAAATAACTACAGGTAAAGAGATGGACTTTTCAACAAATGGTGTTGGAATAATTGAATATCCATATGGAATGCAATGCATCTCAATCCTTACTTCATACCATACTCAAAATAAATCAAAGTACTATTTTAAAAAAACAAAAACTATAAAACTTCTGGAAGAAAGAAGAAATTCTGCCGGGCGCGGTGGCACCTGTAATCCCAGCACTTTGGGAGGCCGAGGTGGGTGGATCATGAGGTCAGCAGTTTGAGACCAGCCTGGCCAACATGGTGAAACCCCGTCTCTACTAAAAATACAAAAATAATTAGCTGGGCGTGGTGGCAGGCACCTGTAATCCCAGCGACTTGGGAGGCTGAGGCAGGAGAATCATTTGAAACTGGAAGGCAGAGGTTGCCATGAGCTGAGATTGCGCCACTGCACTCTAGCCTGGGCAATAAGAGCAAAACTCCGTCTCAAAAAAAAAAAGAAAGAAAGAAAGAAGAAATTATTCATGACTGTGGGGTAGGCAGAGATCATAGAAAGAACTCACTATAAAAGGGGGAAAAAGACAGCATTAAAAAGATAAATAGGTAAGTCATACACTAGGAGAAGGTTTTGTAATACATATTTTTGACAAAAGATTTCTATTTGGAACATATAAAGAAATCTTACAACTCAATAATAAGACCCCAACCAAAATAAAATATGGGCCAAAAAATTTAACAAATACCTCAAAAAGAAGATATACAAACATCCAATAAACACACATGAAAAGTTGCTCAACATCATTAGCCATTAGGGAAATGTAAATTAAAATCACAATGAGATAGCATCATACACTCATTAGAATGGCTAAACTTTAAGAGATTGGTAATAACAAGTGTTGATGACGAAGTGAAACAACTGGAACTCTCATATATTGCTGGCAGGAGTGTGAACTGGAACAATCACTTGGAAAAAAGTTTGATGGTGTCTTATAAAGTTAAACATACACTTACCAATGCCCAGCAATCTGCATTGTAGGTATGGTTTGGATGTGATTTGTCTGTGTCAAAACTCATGCTGAAGTTTGCTTGCCAGTTCTGTCCACTGGGGAGGTAGGGCCTAGTGGGAGGTACTTGGATCATAGGGGTGAATCCTTTATGAATAGGTTGGTACTGTTGTCCTAGTAGAGTGTTGTTTTTGTTGTTGTTGTTCTCAAGAGACTGGATCAATTCTCAAGAAATGTATCAAGGAATGTATTAGTTCCTAAGCAAGGGGTTTTAATAAAGCAAGGTTTCTCCTCCTGTTTGATCTCTCTTTGCATATGTCTGCTTCCCCTTTAACCTTTTCTGCCATGTTTTGACCCAGCACAAAAATCCTCGCCAGAAGCCAAGCAAATGCTGCTGCCACCTGAACTTCCCTGTCTGCAGAACTGTAAGCTGCACCTCTTTATAAATTATCCATCTCACGTATTCTGTTACAACACCAAATGGACTAAGACAAGTATTTATCCAAAGGAAATAAAAATGTATGTCTGCACAAAGATTAGTACATGAAAATGTCAGAGCAGCTTTATTCATAATAGCCAAAAACTGGAAATAGCCCAAGTATCCATCAACAGGTGAACAGGTAAATTGTGGTATATTCATACAATGGCTTACTACTCAGTAATAAAAAGGAACAAAGTAGTGATAAGTGCTACAACGTGAATAAAACTTGAAAACTTTATACTGAGTGAAAGATGCCAGATGGAAGCATACATAGCATATTATTACATTTAAATGAAGTTCTAGAACAAACAAAACTATTTTGATTGGCTGGCCTTGAAAAGGTGACATTTGAGCAAGATCTGGATGTCAAGAGGGAGCCAGCTATGGCAAGATTGACGGGGAGCAATACAGGCAAACAGCACTACAGGAACAAAGGACCAGGATCAGGAAAGAGCTTGGTGAGCTTGGGAACAGTCAGCAGGCCACAGTGACTGGGTGAAGTGGGTGGGGAGAGAATGGTGGGAGACAGGGTGGAGAGGTGGATGGGAGCCAGATCATGCCGAGCCTTATCAGCCCTGATAAAGTTTTGGAATTTGATATGAATAAAATGCAAATCCCTCATAGTTTCCTGGGGCAGAAACACATAAGCAAATAAAGGCAATTCAGGGTCATGGGTGATACATTTGGGGAGTGTACAGGGAAAGAGAAGTAGTAGGCGGTTTTACCTAGGGACATCTGAGAAGGCTTCCCAGAGGAGGTGACATTTCGGCTGAAACTGGAAGAGTAGTAGAAGAGGAGAAAGGTCATCCTGGTGGAGGGCACTGTGCCTACAGAAGCCCAGAGACATGTAGCCTCAGGGAACAGAGACCTCAGCATAATATAAGCCTAGTTGGAGTTTTCTCAACTAGGAGAGCGAGTGGCAGATCTGAGGCTGAAGAGAGAGGCTTTGAATGCTTTGTCAGACTTGATCCTGTAGGGAATGGGAAACCCCTGCAGAATTTATAGTCAGGAAGTATCAGGGCCAGGTTGACACTTCAGATCAAGACCTCCAGATTGGCAGGCAGAGAGCAAGGCCACTGGTTCTAGTGTGAGACAATGGGGGACTGGGCCTGGGACTGAGCAGGGGCAGACGGGGCAGGAGTAGAGCCAAACTCTGCCAAGCGGTGACTGGGACTCTCCTGGTTGAGGCAAAGTTCTCTGAGCTTGAGGCCCCAGAGGGCCATAAATACTAACTTTCATGTGCATCTGCTCCCTTGGAGGGCTTGTCACACCTGAAGGCTCCTAGGCCCTGGCTCCCAAGGATTCAAAAGCAGTGGGTCTAGGATGAAGCCCAGGAATCTGCATAATAAAAAGTGACACTCTCCACTCTGATGCAGGTGGACTCCATACCTACCAGGCTGCCAGTGTGGCTGGGGAGAGGAGGGGGCAGGACAAGCACACACTCATCTGAACTGAAGCAGCTCAGAGAATCAAAGGTAGCATCTAAAATTAGGACCTGGGTGCAATGGGAGCAAAGGTAGTGTTTGTCTCCATTGCTGCAGCTAAAGAATTGCGATAGAGTGGCCCTGGTCATCATGCAGAAAAATGACTCCTGATCACCAGTCCAAGGAGCCACAGAAATAAGAGATGGGGCCACGACCGGAACATAGATTGCCACAGAAGAACATAACTGTACCTTCTCCTAGGGTGCAGACAGGGAGGCAGGAAGGGGATTACTGGGGGCTGCAGTAAACTAGAGAACAAGCTCTGTGCAAAGGAAGCGTCTCTTACCATTCAGCATCTCACCTAATTAACCCTCACAACAGCTCTATGTGGTGGGTCCTATTATTATTCCCATTTTATAGATGGGGAAACTGAGACTCAAAAAGGTTGAGTATGTAGTGCTAGGTCCCAAGGTGAGGACATAGGGGAACCATGGCTGGAACATAGGCCTCCGGACACTCCGAATCATAGCATTGCCCTGTGTCCCCTTCGGTGGGAAAAGTCACTTCATCTCTTAATCTTAAATGATCTTCCAAGCAACAGGAGGGGAGAGGGGGAGTATAAGCTTTCTTTGTCCTATCTTTTTCAGAAGGTATCTTACTCCTTCCTGTGTGTGTCTTCCAAAGATACAGTATCAGGACCTAGAGAGGCTGAGATTTAGAGCCTCATGGTGCAAACTGAATTGTAGGGTCCTAGCCAGGAGTACTTGCTTGGATCTCTAAGAATCTCACAACAGTGCCACATGCCTCAGCTTTATCCAAGCAACAGAAGGAGGTGGTGGAGGTGGTGGCAGCAGCAGCAGCAGCAGCAGTGGCAGCAAATCTGTCCCCAGTGCACTACAGTACTGTTTTGCTATGATGAAATACACATGGCATATGGCTACAAAGTTACTATCTTGAGAGTGGATAGAAATGGGATTTTTCATGTGCCAGATTTCACTTCCCTTTCTGAAACAATTCTTGTAGTAAACAGAGGTTTTCTGATCTTGCTAAGACCAAGAGGGTGGGAATTCCTTTACACTTTTAAAGTAAGACTATTGTCTTGTAGAGTTTCAGTCTGTTGATGGTGCAAATGTTTTTTAAACATGGATGCTATTCTGTGTTCCTCCCTCTTTCCTTCTAAAGGCCACGACAGGAAGAGAAGCTGCCAACACCAGATGACCAACTCCTTTCCAGTTACAGACCACCCCGGTGATGAGACCTCCATATGTTGTCTGGTGGCCACAGTTCCTCGGCAAATGAGTGGGGAAAAGGAAAGTTTTGGTGAGCGTGGGAGGCCACAGGGTGGAGGCGGCCAGGAAGGACCAGAAAGCACACAGGATGTGACTTTAAGGAGGAGAATTATTTTGAACCATGTCTTGTGTGCTGACAGCATAATGATCATTATTAGGGCCTCAGATGTAACATGAAGCCTGCCCTGAAGTTAAATTTTCCTTTTCAGAGAAGCATGGCCTGTCAGTCCAGCATCAGATGGTTCCATGCCGACCTCCTCCATGGCTGAGGGTTGGAGTGCCCCAGCTGCTGCCTCCCTGGTAGCTTTCATTAAAGGACTTTGCTTTTTTGGTAAATAAGGGCCCCATTTTTCTACCTTAGTCTTTGAAAATCAACCTGAGAAACACTTTGTGTAAGTACCACAGATGTATTTGCAGTTTTCTACTCACATTGTTTCTGGGGTTTTTTTGTTGTTTTTTGTTGTTGTTTGCTTGTTTTTTGAGAGAGTTGCCCAGGCTGGAGTGCGGCGGCATGATCTTGGCTCACCGCAGCCTCCACCTCCCAGGTTCAAGTGATTCTCCTGCCTCAGCCTCCTGAATAGCTGGCATTACAGTTGTGCACCATGTCCAGCTAATTTTTTGTATTTTCAGTAGAGACGGGGTTTCACCATGTTGCCCAGGCTGGTCTTGAACTCCTGACCTCAAATGATCCACTGCTTTGGCCTCCCAAAGTGCTAGGATTACAGGCATGACCCACTGTGCCCGGCTGGCCAGCTAGTTTCAAGGTTGCTATCTGGAATCCTACCTCCCCAGGCACCCTCCTGGTCACAGCATGATCTCTAACAGAGGGGCAGATCTGTGGCCTGAGTTGTGCCCAGACAAATTTGGTTTGGCTTTCACAGTATTTTGAAATTGGTTTTCATGTCAGAATCCTGTTTGCTGGCTTCTCTTGAAAAATCAGAAAACTTGGCCACATTGAGTTACATTCCTGAGTGTCAAGTGGCTGGATCTGAATGAGTAGTGCTCCCTTTCCACAGAGCGTGTTATCTGATATGCCACAGTCCCTACCACTTTCCACCATCCCCCGCATCCACACCCCAAGAGAAGATATGAACTAAAAAGCAGATATAGATATAGGTGCTCCAGTCTTGACCCTACCACTCATTTCCTGTGGCTGCTTGAGCAGGTGTCTACATCTCTTAGGAAGAAGAGAATAATGAGATGATGGATGCAGAGCACTGGCAGAATGCCTAGCATAGAAGAATCTGAGGATTCGCCATGCATGCTTCCTGGTATGTAGTACTAGTTCTTGTCAATGACACAGAGACTTGAAGACTGTATATAAATGGACACACCTACTAGAATGTAAGCTTCATATACAAAAGGATTTTTAAAAATCTGTTTTGCTTATTTCTACATCCCCAGGGCCTAGTGCAGTCCCTGGCACATGGTAGGCCATAGGCCCTCAGTAAATGTGTTGAATGAATATGTGGATTTAATATTTCCCTGACTTCTTACTCTTCTTATGTCATGTGCTAAGTCATCGGTCCATTTTAAAAATATAAATGCAAATAGACTTATAAACTGATTATTTCTAATTTATATGTGTTGAATTTATTTTCCTAATAACTGAAAAAAATTAAAAAGCAGGAGGATGCTTCATAGTTGACAGAACTTCATTGCCATAGTCATTTGAGTTGCAGCCTGGGAGAAAAACGTATTCTTCTTCTAGGTTGATTTTCTAAGATCACTATCAGAAGGCCAGGCTACTTCAGGAATCAGTGCTTCAAATCAAAATTAAAAACACATGCATTTATGTGATACCTCTTGAGAACGCAAGTTGCTGTACAAACACATTTAAAGCATTAAGTGCTCCCTGACGCCGTTTCCTCAGAAGTAGTACTTCCAGAAAGGAGACTGCATTTAGGTAAAACCAATGGCAGCTTCTATATGATGATGTCAACATGGCTCAACCTCTGAGTGCCAGAATTTGCTTCTCATTAGATACAACTTTTCTGGAAATACAAGAGAAGGTAAGTTGATTTCCAAGTGAATTCAAGCCTATTGGAGTATTATATTACAGAACCTTTCAATAGGAGGAGCTTTCAGGAGCTTTCAGGAGGCTTGTGGTTTCAGTATTGGTGGCCTGTAGGGGTCAGTTGTGTTTTTTGTTTGCTCAGCATCCATTCCTCCTACTTCTGGTAACTAAGCTTGAATTTTCCTTGGGAAGCCGTTCTTCCACACTTTCACCTGTGGGATTTGGAGGAGGCTGAGTTCACCCCCAGCTCCAGAAGAGAACATGGAACCAGCCAAAGTGTTACATCCCCTGGCCACGGCCACACATTCAAGAGAAACGCCACACATTCAAGAGGTGACTCACACCTGTAATCCCACCACTTTGGGAGGCCAAGGCAGGTGGATCACTTGAGGTCAGGAGTTCAAGTCTAGCCTGGCTAACATGGTGAAACCCTGTCTTTACTAAAAATACAAAAAAATTAGCCGGGCGTGCTGGCGTACACCTGTAATCCCAGCTACTTGGGAGACTGAGGCAGGAGAATTGCTTGAACCCGGGAGGCAGAGGTTGCAGCGAACCAATATCATGCCACTGCACTCCAGCCTGGGTTACAGAACGTGACTCTATCTCAAATAAATAAATAAATAAATAAAAATTTTAAAAATAAAAACTAAGCTCCATTCTAGAGCTTTTCTTAGTATTATTAGGAAAGAGAAAGCCTTGTGTCTGCTGAGACTTTTCATGGTGAGAATGAAATTCTGACACCATCAGAGGGATTATCTGAGAATGAAGACATGCAAAGAAAAGAGCTGAGAAAGAGAGAAAGAGGGGAGAATCCCGGTGACAGTGTTTGAATGCCTGGATCCAGCTATACCTGAAAATCAGATTCATCCCTGAATTTTTGGCTTCATGAGCCAATACATTATCTCTCCCTCTTTCTTTAAGCTGATTTGAATAGTGCTTCAGAACTTGCAGTGGAGAAATTCCTGACTAGCAAATTGGAATTTGAAAACATAGATCAGACAAAGAAGAGCCAGAAGGGCCAGGTGCAGTGGTTCATGCCTGTAATCCCAGCACTTTGAGAGGCTGAGGTGGGTAAATCACTTGAGCCCAGGAGTTCAAGACAAGCCTGGGCAACATGGTGAAACCTGTCTCTACAAAACAAAAAAAACAAAAAAAACAAAAAAACCAAACCACACACACACACACAAATTAGCTGGGCATGGTGGTGTGCACTTGTAGTCCCAGCTACTTGGGGGAGGAGAAATTGAAATGAACCAGAGGCCAAGTCTTAGTGAACTTCTCCAATGCTTTAAATCTCTCTGTACTTGACTGAGGAAGAATTCTGATAGTATTTGCGATCGAACCTGTGAGCTCCACAATTATATTGTTCAATTGGTGCAGTAGACTTTCATTCGATAGGGTTTCTGAGGGCCTGTGCATGCCATGTATCAGCAAGTGGACAGGCTTTCTCATTTTCAGGAGGGGCTGCTTCTAGTCCCTGGTCAGCCCTTCTTCACCCTTTGGGGCTACACCGTTGCCTTCTGACCCAGCCTGAATACAGCTGCCAAGTGATTCTTCCCAAACACTGCATTCCATTCTCATTTCCCACTTCAAGGAACTTCAGTGGTTCCCTAAGTTTTCATATTGAATCTATTCTCATCTGCTCAGTCTTTAATACTAATACTAATAGTAAACTAATACTAATAATAAAAACTAAGTTTAAGGCATTTACAATGGGCCGGGCACCATGCTTACATTCCATAGGTTTCTTAGTTCATCTTCAAAATGACATTATAAAGCAGATAGCAATCTTATTCCTATATTTTTTGGATGAGGAAACCAATGCATAGAGAGATTAAGTAACTCACTCAAAGTCACATGGTCAATATGTGGTGATGGAGTCCAAATGCAATCCTGTCCCTCTGGATCCAGACTCCATGATCCTCCCAGAAGATTCTACTGTCTAAAAAGCTCTCCCACAGTCAGCTCCATCTCTATCTTATTTCCCACAACTCCCCAATTTCCACAGTTCAGTTAGGCTGGTCTTACAGCTATGCCCACTATTATCTAATTTCATTGTCTTTGCTTTTTTTGTTTAATCATGCATCCATTCATTCAACAAAGCATGGCTGATCTTACACTATGCTGATAATTTCATCATTATCTTTGCTCATTCATTCATTCATTCATCTAGCCAGTAAACATTTACTGAGCCCCTGCCCCAGGTGCTCAGATCACTGCCCTGACCCAGAATGTTTTCTTCACCTACCACCTCTCCAAATCCTATCTTTTTTGTTTTTGTTTTTGTTTTGTTTTGTTTTGTTTTTCTGTGATGGAGTCTCGCTCTGTTGCCCAGGCTGGAGTGCAGTGGCACAATCTTGGCTCACTGCAACCTCTGCCTCCTGGGTTCCAGCGATTCTTCTGCCTCAGCCTCCTGAGCAGCTGGGATTACAGGCATGTGCCATAATGCCCAACTAATTTTTGTACTTTTAGTAGAGATGGGGTTTCACCATGTTGGCTAGGCTGGTCTCAAACTCCTGACCTCAAGTGATCCACTCGCCTCGGCCTTCCAAAGTGCTGGGATTACAGGCGTGAGCCACCGTGCCTGGCCAATCCTGCCTATCTTTCAAGGCTCTGCTCCAAACCCTTCCTTTCATGTATCCCACCTTAGCCAATGCAGCTAGCATGGCCCCTCTTTCCATGAACGCTGCGGGCACGGAAGGACATGACATAGTTTATTCAATTTCACAGCAGCCTGGCAAGGTCTCACACTGTCTTATCTTCCCATCGGAAATCGGATGCCTGACCAAGCTAGGGCACATACTCTTTCTGTATCCATCAGTCTTGAGAGTACATTAGGCATCCAAGAAACATTCTTTCATCCAATTGTTCAGAGAACAAGTGTTCTTGTTCTCTAGTTTAAATACAATGGCTTAAAAAATGGCCCTTTACAAAACATTATGAATCTGGGTTCTCTTTCTTTGCCCTGGAATTCACCTAAAGTTTATGATAGTCTTGTGAGGTAGATATTATCATCTCTATTTTACAGATTAGGCAGAGACTCAAAAAAGGTGAGTAACTTGGCCAAGTTCACAAAACGGATAAATCTCAGAACACAGGCTCCCAATCACTGCACCACGTTGCCTCCACATTGCCTCCACAGTCCTTGGACAGTTCTCCCGAATGAACAAATACTGAAAATTCATTGTAACTTCTGTGACTAATGGACTTTCACAGCAAATATGCTTGGCCAGGACCTTGTACCCTGACATTTTTCTTTTATTTCCAGGAATGGAAACCCACACTGCTGTTGTGAAGAAACCTGATGAAACTCCAGCAACTTCTACATCTGGCCTGCTGCTTAGTCCTGGGACCTGAGGTCAAAATCATAGAAAAGAGCCATGGGAGATGCATTCCTTGGCCTCATCTCTGTTCTTGAATGCTGTCAGCAACACTCTTCGAGTTTTTACCCACATGTTAACACTTTCCTCAGCGTGGATATGGAGGCGGGGGTGAGGAATGTTCTATTTTTCCTTCGATGGTTATGCCCTCACCCTACCAACTCAGTAAAAGGGGAGTAGTGGTCAGGGACCTTACTGAGAATGTGTCCTAGCATCTTTTCTCCCCCAGCACAGCCTCCATATGACCCAGCTGCCATGAGAAGCTCGCCTCCCTTCTAAGGGAATTACCCCAACCTTCCACTTCATCCTCACCTTGCCCTGCCCAGATTAGAGGCACAGAGGCATGTACCACAGGCCTGAAAAACCATCCAGCCAAAAAGCCTGACTGTCTTGATGAGTCCTATCAGGGTGTAGTTATGGACATGCCTATTTCTGCTCTTCCCTCTGCATTAGTTCTCTGCAAAGGGTGGCTCTTGCCCTCGGATGGTCCAAAGATAGTTTGGGGTACGCATGGATGACCTTCACTCTTTAGAGGTGAACAGACAATACTGCTCTTCTCCAACAGCCTCTGAAGGACACCAACTACTGCCTGTTTCTGAGATGTTTGCTGCCCCAGAGTCTCCCACCTGCTTCTTCCTCCCTCTCAGTCCTCCCTTTTGTAGACTCTCAGCCTCCCTTCTCTTAATGCTCTTTGCACCCTTTCCTGGGTCTCTATTTACCCTGCCTTCCCTTTCAGCAACCCCTTCCCAAACCACTGCCGACTTCTCCTTTCTTTCCAATCCCTCCTCCCTTCCCAGCACTTTCACCTTCCATTGAATCCCTCAAGCCTCACTCTGGCCCAACTCCTCCCCTCACCCTCTATCCCTGCCCTTCTCAGATCTGCCAAACACCTCAGGCCTGGCTGCCTCTGTCCTGTTCCCACCAAACCTCCTGACCATGCTTCTGTGCTCCTTGGGACCTGGGCTCACATTTTCAGTCTCTTCTCTTCTATTAGTACAGTTCTGTCTAGAGCCATGATTCTTCTCTACCTTTCACAGCTGTCTTCTTTCCCACTTATATACATTTATTTTTTTAAGTATGGAAATAAAAAAGTGCCACTTAAATACAATGATTAAGTCATAATAAACAGTACAAGTTGTACTTGAATGTGAGACATACCACCCATACACGTTTGATCTTCAAGGACCACATCGCAATCAATCTGCCCACGGCCCATTGCCTGACACTAAAAGATACTTACAAGAAGTTGATTATAAACTAATTTCTTGGTCTAAGATCCTACACTCTGAAAGGGAAGGTTTCAATATATATGAAACCTTCTTGGCAGTGCAGGGATGAGGAGAGTAAAACTGAGATGAAAGTCAGCAAGTAGTGAAGGTGTGAAATAGGCAGTGACTCTCACACTGAGACCTCCTGGGGATGTTAAATTTTCATTTCGAAGCTGATGGTCTATCTGGGAAGCCTAGAGAGTAACAAAGGTTGTAGGCATATCATTATATTAGAGTGGTGCAAAAGTAATTGCTGTTTTTGCCATTAAAAAAAAAAAGCAAAAACCACAATTACTTTTGCACCAACCTAATAGCAAGCAAGGGGAGGAATCTGGAGAGAAAATCAATTTCTAAAATAAGAAATAAAAATTTGTTTGCAAGTAGGACTTGCAAGCTCGTTCTAGGCCTTGCTCTGGGAGCTTTTCGGTAACTTCTCTTCCTGTTGGAATAGAAGAAGGAAACCTTCAGGACAGAAGGTTCTGTCCCCCTTCCCCCTCCTATTGTGAATGAAGTCTCATTACACTCTAAAGTACTGGCAGGACTACTTGTTGCAAGGATTATGGGGAAAAGTAGCCAGAGAGCAATCCAGTTATCAGCCTCAGCCCCATTCCTCTGAGGTACAGCTCGGGAAGTAAGCCTCCAAACCAAGATGGGTCTGGACCAACAAGACACGAGGAGGCAGCAGCCCACAGCCAACCCCTCATGCCACGCACTGAGCAGGGTCCCACATGGACGCTGGTCTTGCCTCCCAGACGCCTGAACTAGCGGAGTTGGGGTATCGGGTGGAGTCTCGGAGACTCTATCCAACCTGAGGGGGACGCCTGGGGCAGTTCCAAGTATCCATCTCAGCTGGGAGGCCCACTTGGGAAGCCACGGAGCAACCTCACGTCCCGGTGGCGCCGACTGCAGCACAGCGCTTCCGGCGGCACTTGGAGGCTGAGCAGTTGGAGGCGGGGCTCGTGCTGTGACGCCTGCCTCGCCTCGCCCCTCCCCGCGCGCGTTGCCAGGGTGATCAGGTGACTCCCGGTTCGCGGCACTGGGGGCGGCCGTGACGTCAGGCGCCGGGCTGCTCCTCACTCGCTCCGAGACAGGTGCGGCGAGTCTACTGCGGGCTGGTCCGGGCTCTTCAGGTCCAGACCCGACCGTTATCCAGTCGGTTCGTGGAGAGGAGAGGTGAGGTGTGGCGAACCTGGCCCGACCCAGCTGGGACCAGGGCGGGGATCAGGCGCGGACAGGGCGCGTCCCAGGATGTGCGCGTACCCGGGCTCCTGGGAGAGCGCCCTGAGAACTGGCTGGCACCCAGGCGGGCCGGTTTCAGGCAGGGGTTCGCGCAGCCCCTGGGGAGGGGCAGGGAGGCAGGGAAACGGCTGCCGCCAGCTGGATCCCTCCTGGCGCCCCGCGGCTACTCTGAGGCTCCTGGTCGCCGCGCCGCGCGTCCCGGCGGTGGACTCACAGGGGCTCCGCGTTGCTGCGGTTCTAGTCTCACGAGGAGTCGGCGGGCTCGGAGCGGGGCTTGCCACACCCCGTCCCGGGGGACGTCCGCGGGAGGCTTCTGGATTTCCTTGCCTTGGGCTGCGATTTCTGAAGCGCTGCTCTGCGTGTTCCGAGCTGGGCCAGCCGGGGGCAGGGGGCCGGTCGCGAGTCCCGCGGGTGGGAGCGGAGCGGAAGTAACTAGTGACTGGAAGTAACTAGGGGACGCGAAGCCGGCCCTTGGAGGCCGGGGTGTTCAGAGAAGGCGTTGCGGGGGAAAGGAATCCTGGCTGCTGTTGAGAGCCGTTGATTGGGATCTGAGCCGACCTGTTGGAGAAAGTGAAATCTGAGCGGGGTCCTGACGGGTGGGAACTAATCTCCCGGTAGCCGTGGAGGTTGCAGGGGGGAGAGAAGGAGGGGAGGACCCCTGGGGAAGGAGACCATGAGGAAAAACGATTTGGGGACTAACTGGACCGTCTGCTGGGCTGTTTTAGGGGGAGAAAAACTTTGGAGAATTAGGTTAGGGAGGGTTAGGAAAGCACCCTTTGAGTGCCCAGCTGAGAGGCACTGTGTGCTGTGGGGAGCCATTGAAACGTTGGCTAGATTGGGGTAGGGGGAACACTGAGGAAGTTGGTGTGACATTCCAGCAGAAAGGTGACAACACTCTTCTCTGATGGGATGCCTCGAACCCTGCTTATGAAATACTTGTAACCGACAAGGGTAGGGGCTCAGGCAGCCAGGTGCCTTCTCCAGCCGTTGTTGGCAGATCTTTGAAAATTTAACAAAAAATAATTGTACATATTTATAGATTTATACAATATGATACATGTAAACTTTGTGGGGTAATCATGTTAGCAGATTTTTTTTTTTTTTTTTCTGAATTCCTTCTTATGAAAGGACCCACCCAAGGGCAGCTCATTTTCGAGTATCTCATTTGACTGGATTTAATGACTGGTTGAGAGCTATGCCCACCTCAGTATGCAGGGAGGTTATAGCGTCCACAACACTTTGCCCTTCAGAGGTTTCAGAGTGTCTTACAAACACCTCTTATACCTACGGTGAAATCCAAACCCCAAATGACTGGTAAGAGATTTAATAGGGGGAAGTTATTAAAGGAGAACCAGCATTGAAAACATTCATATGGGGCACTGGGTGAGCTGAAAGGAGTCCCATACTATTTATTAATTGTAGATCAAAGATCTCTAGTCCTGGCCGGGCGCGGTGGCTCACGCCTGTAATCCCAGCACCTTGGGAGGCCAAAGCGGGCGGATCACCAGGTCAGGAGATCGAGACCATCCTGACTAACACGGTGAAACCCCGTCTCTACTAAAAATACAAAAAATAAGCCGGGCGTGGTGGTGGGCGCCTGTAGTCCCAGCTACTCAGGAGGCTGAGGCAGGAGAATGGCGTGAACCCGGGAGGCAGAGCGGGCAGTGAGCCGAGACTGCGCCACTGCACTCCAGCCTGGGCGACAGAGCGAGACTCTGTCTCAAAAAAAAAAAAAAAAAAAAATCTGTAGTCCTTTCCTACCAGCTTTGAGTTTCTCAGTGTAAGGCTGCCTGTTAGCCATTTTGTCTTAATTTCATGAGCAACAGGAAAAATATATTTTGGTTATATGAAAAAGAATGCTTTGGTAATTTATGATTTTTCCCAGCCCTGAAATTTATTGGTGCTATGACCAAAAAAATACACAGCTGTCTGTTTTATTTTATTTATTTGTTTATTTTTGAGACAGAGTCTTGCTCTGTCACCCAGGCTGGAGTGCAGTGTTGAGATCTCGGCTCACTGCAACCTTTGCCTCCTGGGTCAAGAACTGTCTATTTTATATTGAAACTTACCAGCGTCTGTTTTCTAGGAGGTAGTGAAATTTATTTTGTATTTCTTTGACTCCAGAAAACAGAATTGGACCTCCAGGGATCCTGTACAGTAAAAGGCAGGTTTGGAAATTGTGAAGGAAGATGGCCGCAGCTGGTTTGTGCGTAAATATAGAAACCAGTGCAGCACTCAAAGGAGGACAAATCCAGGGTGAGACCTGGGGAAACGGGACTTCCAATCAGATCAGTGAAGTCATTCTCTGTAAAAGAAGCCCCGAAGTGTGTAAAAGGCCAGAGTAGTTTTCTCTCCCTGTGTTCCTGCTGAGTGGTAGAGATTATGATAGTGATTTTTAAGGGGCTTTGCAGGAGCCTGTAATATTAAGAATCGCTGGAAATCAGATGTCTTGACCACATTAAAAAATTTAGAAAAGTAACTATTTTCCAGATCTCTTTGATAATATTTGAGGTGACCAACTAATTGTGGTTCCTTTGGAAAGAAACGGTCCACCCCCTCCTTTCCCAAACAAAATAACTATGTGCTGTCAGGGCAGTTAAGTAGGCCAAAAGTTTTTGGAAATTTTCCGCTTTCATTCACCCCTGCCACCCCCGTAAGTTTTCCCATTGGTAGAGAACTTAAGACTTTACTGTCAGGAAACAAATGTTAGTGTGTTTCCCTAAATACAAGCTATAATAAACAACAGGGCTGGGCTTTAACAGAAACGCTCTTTCTTAAGGGGAACTGGGCTGAGGTGAAAGGCAGGGCTGGGATATGGGCTGGAGCATTTTGAGCTCACCTTTAGTCAACTAAGGCCTTGATCAGGGCACTCCTTTCTTGGCACAGAAACTTTCTTTGACCTTGAATGCGGGTCAGTACCTCCTCACAGAGGTACCGAGGAGAATTAATGAGAGGCTTATATGAAATTTGAGCTCCCCCAAGGCAGAATTTTTACTTCTTGGATGAATGGTATATTTTGAGATGTGATAAAAGTTTTTTTTTTTTTTTTTTGAGACGGAGTCTCGCTCTGTCGCCCAGGCTGGAGTGCAGTGGCCGGATCTCAGCTCACTGCAAGCTCCGCCTCCCGGGTTTACGCCATTCTCCTGCCTCAGCCTCCCGAGTAGCTGGGACTACGCCCGGCTAGTTTTTTGTATTTTTTAGTAGAGACGGGGTTTCACCGGGTTAGCCAGGATGGTCTCGATCTCCTGACCTCGTGATCCGCCCGTCTCGGCCTCCCAAAGTGCTGGGATTACAGGCTTGAGCCACCGCGCCCGGCCAAAAGTTTTTTAAAAGAGTTTGAAGTTCTAAATTTTTGGGAAAGCCTTATTCAAGGCCTTCCTTTTTTTTTTTTTTTTTTTTTCCCAGAAACAGGGCTTGCTGTGTTGCCCAGGTTGGTCTGTAACTCCTGGGTTCAAGTGATCCTCCCACCTCAACCCTGTGAGTAGCTGGGACTACAGGCGACCATGCCTGGCTATCTAAGGCCTTTTTGCGTGTTTGGTTTTTTAAATTTTTTTGAGACAGAGTCTGGCTCTGTTGCCTGGGCTGGAGTGCAGTGGTGTGATCTCAGCTCACTGCAACCTCTGCCTCCTGGGCTCAAGCCATCCTCCTGCCTCAGTCTTCTGAGTAGCTGGGACTACAGGCCTGCACCACCACACCTAGCTAATTTTTTGTGTTTTTTTGTAGAGTTGGAGCTTTGCCATATTGCCCAGGCTTACCTCCAACTCCTAGGCTCAAGCGATCTGCCTGCCTCAGCCTCCCAAAGCGCTGGGATTATAGGCATGAGCCACCATGCCTGGCCTTTTTGCTGGTTTCGTTTTTTTGTTTTTTTGTTTTGTTTTGTTTTTCCTGGGGCTTTATGGGCTTGGCTACTAATCAGCATATAATCAAGATCTGAGGCCCGGCGTGGTAATCCTAGCACTTTGGGATGCTGAGGCAAGAGGATCGCTTGAGCCCAGGAGTTCAAGACCAGCCTGAACAACACAAGGAGACCCCCATTGCTACAAAAAAATTTTTAAAAATTAGCTGGGCATGTGGCATGTGCCTGTAATCCTAGCTACTCAGGAGGCTGAGGCAGGAGGATCGCTGGAGCCCAGGAGTTTGAGGCTGCAATGAACTATGGTCACGCCACCACACTCTAGCCTGGAAGACAGAATGAGACCTTGTCGCTTAAAAAAAAAAATAGCCAGAGTATTATCAGAAAGTGTCACAGCCCTCAGAGGAGTTAGTTATTAAGCCGGTCAGAGATGAAAGGGAGTAATATTGCTCACTAAATTGGATGAGGAGTGAAATAGTCATCTTTTAAAATTTCCCTCACCTGTGTCAGGCCGCCGGTGCTGTCACTCAATGTAGTAGGATTCAAGTGTTTGCTGATGTGCCCAGGGACACTACGTACTGAACTACAACATCCATCTTTTAGACTTCTGACATTTGTTGGCCAGGTCAAGCTCTCTCTCATGAGGGAAATTCTGACAGAAAAGGCTTTCTGTTTTCTGTAGGCTTAGCTGAGTGCCATGTTTCAGGCTTCCAAGCTCCTCAGGCTTGGCCAAGGCTACTAATTGGCTTGGCTATAAAATGGGAGTCAGCAATTAAACAGCAGCAGTATAAAGCAAGGGAATTGAACACAAGCTGACCCTCCCACTTTACAACCAAAAAGGTTCACACCACTTTGGGCACTACACAAAGGAATCTTCAAAAGGAAGTGAGCTTGGAATTATTCCTTTGTAGCTTTTAGGAGATGTATGCGGAATATTATTATTGATTTAGGCCTCAAAGCCAGATCTTGGAAACTGGGTAGGTCCTCACATCTAAAGCAAAGGAGACAAATGATTTGAATCCGTTCTCTGTGGGCAGCAAGCTTGTGGTATGACTTTGCCAAAAACAACAGATGATTTATA